ACGTTTTGTTTTAAATGAAGTATATTTGAATGTATATTAGTTAGCTATACTAGCTTTTAAAGTTTTAATAACATATATATATATTTATATATTATATTGATAGCGCCTGTTGGTGCTGTGGCACTTCAATGTATTTTAGTACAGAATGACTCAACTACGGTTTCGGTGGACCAATTTTTTGAATTGTTTTTACATTGATTTTTGCTTATTTTATTTTACATAATATATTTTTATTTTTGAAAATTCGTATATACATAATATGTATCTTTTTCCACCATGTAGGAACTAACATACGTACCTGATTTTTACCGTGTAGGAATTTACATATGTAATTGTTTACCTGCTACTCTCGTGTAGGGGAGCAGCAAATTTTGAAATTATTGGTTTCACTATGTTAGCTTTCAGTAATTTGTTTATTTGACTCTCTAACTTTTTTCTTTGTTGCGGTGATATCCTATGGGGTGCATTAAATTTTGGTTCTTTATAATTTAATTTAATTTTTATCTCACACGGTTTTACGAGTACATTGGCGGCTTTTATGTTAGAAGTATCTGTCGTAAAAATATGTTTGTATTCAGTTAGTAACTGAATGATTTTATTATGTTCTATTATGCTTAGTTTGGGAGAAATTGAGAAAGGGGTGCCTTCATAATCTGTTAGAGATTGTTTTGTGATTTTATTTATTGAATCCGTGAATGTGATATTTTCTGTTTGATAATCGATTTGTTTGATTTGTTTATTATTGTTAATTTCTAATGATTCAACATGTGGCGATCTCTTTGTGTATAATGAAATGTTAGGATGCGGTGTTTTGTGGCGTTTAGGCACGGTGTCCTTGGGGATTTCTTTTAGTTCTTTTTTTTGTTTTATGTGGTTGTCGTCTGCGGTTATTTATATATTGTTAAATCGTTAAATGTATTATTACTGTTGGTTTTCGTATTTTTTATATTTCGTATTTGAATTATGTTGTTAGGGATTTTGTTGTCACTGTACCTGGGACCCAATGAGTATTTTTGTTTACATAATATAATACATTAATACCATAGGTAATTTATTGCCGTCTCCATACATTATATCCGTGTTGTTGCTATCGTTTTATATGTAAGTGCCATGGTTATAATAATGTGCGATTGCGGCTAACTCATCGTCAGACCACCAATAGTTTGGTAATTCGTTTAGTCCTAACAATTCTAGTATTTCTAAAATCGAAGTTATTTTGTTTATTTTATCGTCATTTAATGCGTTACAAGTGGCATAAAGTTCAAAATTCCCATGACTGAAAACGTTTTCTCCCGGTTTTTATTTAGAAAATATATCATGAGCTTGGTTATTGGTTTCATACAATGTGTCAGTTATTTTTGTGTCGGTTTTGTTGTCATTATTATTATTTTCACAATATGTATGAATGTTATTAGTTTGTCATTGTGTTCTTTTGACTTTTGTGTTATTTTTTTTTCATCTTAATAGTATATTTGTATTTCAATATTAGTATTTTGGAATTCTGAATATATTAATTGTTTTACTATGGACCAATTAAATTTGTGTGAATCAAGAGTAGGCTTTGCAATTTTCGAATTTTGTTATAATTCAAGTACCTACAAATAATCGAAAAAATTGAAGTTTGAATGTCGATTTAAGTATTTTTTTTCGGTCGAAAAGCATGAAAATATAATTCAAGGTTTCTTAATAATTGTTATTTATAGGAATAAAAACAAAAATTGAGCGTAAATCCATAAACAATTTTTATGAGTATTTAAATTTAAAATTTTAATACATTTTGTCAAAATTGCAAAAATTAACAAATTATTTTATATTAAAAAATTCATAAAATTTTTAATATTCATACCCAAGATTATAAAATTTAATCCTAGATTCTTCACGAGTTTTGAAATTTATTAAAATAAAAATTGGTATTGGAAAAGCAAATACATTTTTTATAAGCGTTTGAAGTTCATATTTTTCAACAATGCAAATTCATCTGTAATACATCTATTTTTATTGTATTGTTGTAATTTAAAAAAAATTAACCGGAGATACTTGAAATTTTAACCAAATGTTTATATTATATTTTTTCTAGCTCGGAATAGCTTTTAAAATACAATTTTTTCTAATTATTTATAAATATTTGGAATTTTTAATTATTTTTCGTTTTATTTTTATGTAGATAGATCTATAAAAAGTTGTCACTCGTTCAAAAATGTTTGAAGCTTAAAACAAGCCCCTTTGGAAATGTCATATACTATGTATTTATTTGTAGGTATAATAAATAGTTTTTACGCCTTAAAATACATAAACTTAAAATAGGTTTAAATTGTTAATTTTATCTTATTCTATTATGTAAGTACTAAAATTATAATTAAATATTTTTCTTAAAAAATGTTCCCCCTTCTCACTATTTCAGATTTCTAAGTCTGCGCCTGGTTGGCTTGTGCTAGTTAAATGTTTTCAACACTGTTGAAATAAATTAAAAGATATAATGGAGCAACAACTTCGTAATAATAATATGATAAATCATTATACATTAATATGGCAGACGGCAGTGTAGGTTTTTAATTTTGTTTACTTTTTTCTGTTTAGATTTTATCATATATATATATATATATTATACTTTATAGTTTTTATTATAATTTGATACGTACTTTATTTTGTGCAGGAAATAAATCAACACACATAAACAGCAGATTTATACACCTTTCTTGTTTATAACTACAAGATTATACTATTTATACTAAAACTGAACATATAAGCACTACACATTTTGCACGGTCCATCGAGATTTTTTAGATATTGAAAACTATTTCGTCTCGTGTTCCATTGATGTGACATATTGATTCGTTTCTTCTCGGCTAATGTGAAAAAAAAAGCATTTTGTACGAAATGTTGCAATATCTTCGAATAATTTAAATTTTAACTAAAATAATGTACTTAAATTATCTTCTCGTCAACTAAGAGACGATAGATATGATTAATATTGTTGACTTAACACAAAATAAAGACGCTGCATGGTAAGTATATAAAAAATTAAATCTGCTTAAAATCAAGGTTCGGAAAAGTTGGCTGAACTCTTCAAAAGCAACCCAATAAATCCTATCTACTCAAATTTTTCAGATAACGTTGGTTGTAGCAGCCGGACATTTGTCAGAAAAATGTAAAGAAAAACTATTATTTAAGTATATATATAGGTGTACTATATGGTATCGAATAGGTACAATTGTAGACCAACTCTGCGTGCAAAGTTGAATGTAATCTGTAAAGTGTTGTTGGAGACGAGTAGGAAAATGTTTGTCAAGATCAAAAGGCTTATAAGCAACTCAAAACCCCGTTGAATACATCATTTTACGTCGTTAATCAAAGACTACCCACTTAATAGTTAACAATTTACGATGTAATTCATTACAGCGATCATAATAATTTATGGCCAAAAAAAAAAAAAAAATAAAATAAAAACACGTCCACTGCAAACAGTGCATTACCAACGATTCGACAGCTGTACAGCAGTATAAGAGGTATCTAACGCCAAGACAATGGGTTACTCTCCTCTAGAAGATTTCGTATCTCGGTTGCTTACCAACTACGCGCGCGCGGTGCGGTATGAACCTGACCGACCTCCGCGGGCGCGTCGTACCTACGATACGCTACATTGAAACAACAGTGTACGCCACAGCGTTGCCCCGTCCGGTGCAGACGACGTGCAACGCTTAAGACGTGAGTTTGAGAACGTCTGAAATAAAAAAAAAATATAAAACGGGTCCGTGGCGGCGGTGGTGGTATACGGTGCGACTGCGACGTCGTCGTAACGTCGTAACCGGTGGAGGCAACACGACACGACGACCGCGACTACTACGTCTTTGGCCCCGGACGGCGAGTGTCGAGACGCGGTGCGTGCGTGCGTGCACCACAACATCGGGAGTTTGTGTTTACCTCTCTCCGTTGTACGCGGTCGTCTGCAACTCTATCGCTCGCTTCTTTTGCGGACACACGCGTACACGTACGCGGCGCGACAGTCGCGTCTTAGACGAGTGCGCCGGTTCGCGCGCGTCACCGTGTGCAGTGGAGGACGTAGTACCTGCCAAGTTTTTCGAAAAACTGATAACCCGTTCGCGTGTTCGTAAGTCGAGATCGCCGTTGTGCTGTTGCTGTTATGCGTATTATATTATTATAGTTTAGCGTCCCACGAAATATGTCGCGTCTCGACCGGTTCCGTTTTCACCTGTACCTACCGCATCGCGTGATGACAGTATTGTGATAATACCGTTTTAATCGCATTGTTCGGCGTTGTGATAGCGTACGCGAGTGAAATAATTATAATATCGTCGCGTACCGTCGTACCACGACCACAAACCACCGGATTTCCGATTTTTTGCCGATCTATCGGCTTATCCGGGACCGACGACGTGCGGTGTAGGTGCAACAGCCAATAGATACTATACGCAATAGCGCAGGTTTGTTTACTTTTTTTTTCGGTTTTCATTACCTCTCGCGTTGCGCGTCTGCGCGTTTCCCGTTTCCATCGCGACCACGCGCGTGGTAATAATATTATTACGCCGTGGTAAGCGCGTCGGATACGATTTCTATTTACCGGTTCTTTAAAGTCTTTTTGCCAGTATCATAGACCACGGTTTGTTATGATCTACTCTCGGCGATTTTTTCTTGCAAAAACAGCACTTACAACACCTGAAAACTCATTGTCTACGGATATTTGCAAAATATCATATCCCTGACCCCCCAAAATATTGATTTGAAAGTGTTTCGGGATCTAAAAGTATAGACAATGCCATATTAACGAATCTACATTTTCAAATTTGATAGGGTTATACAAACCTTAATCCTTAGACTATGTTTATATGTTACATTTTAATAAATAAGAAGAGGTAAAATTTTGTTCGTGCCTTTAATATTATAATCATTTGATAATATAATGATACAATATTATTGTTACACGATTTCAATTGTATAGTCATTATTTTATATAACACAATCAATTCAGTATTAAAAATTCTTTAGAATTGTTCAAAATGATCGATTGAAAACTGTAACACATTATCTGGCTTGGCTAATAATATAGCTTTTATGTAATCAATGATCATGTCTTTCACATCTTTGTGGTTTTTTATATAAGTGTTGTACTTTATTTTCATTTCAGACTAAAATTGTAATTAACAAATTAACTAAAATTTTATTTGTAAAAATTGGTTTATACTTACAACTTTATCTAGATACATAGATTTGAAACGAATATCTTGTTCCCAATTATTCTTTAAGTGTAATATAGTGTCGTAATGAACTAAACCATCTTTTGTGATACGCATCGACTTATTGATCGTCAACTTCTTACTAATATTTTTACCCCATGAATGTTGTAATATATAACCCAAACGAGTTAAGATAGTCGTCATTTGAATAATTGAAGTTTTAAAAGATTTTTTTAATTGTAAAACTCTCTTTATAATTACAACTTGTATTGACACTTTATTGATTTTATAATTGTCTTTTAATGAACATTCCTATAAAAAATATGGATTATTGAATTAAAAATTTGATTTATTTATACTCTGTCACTGTAGCCGAATCGGACTTTGTTTAAAAAGGAGTATTTTATTGAGGTGAGCTGAATTGGTTCCCGTTTAAATTTGTGATGTTTCTCGCTAACTGATCGAACTAATACCCTCTTTGATGGTCATAAGATGACTAAATACGCACATTTTATTTTCTAATTTTACCGGCTTTAAAAGTTTGTGAACCAATTAGGTGATAGCAGTATAGAAAATTGTATATATATTGTATAAATGTACAGATATACATCACGTATTTTTGTACATACCTATATATGTATTATACTATACGTACGTATATTGTTTTACATAATGTTCCATCGATAGTTACAGCTGTTTTGTTTTTAATGGTACCCTCAAATCCTATTATTGCAAGATATCGGAGGAAAACATAGTTCATACCCTCAGTTAACAAATTCTGAAATTAAAATTTTTAGTACATCAGGTGAACATATATTTTTGTATATACGAGTTTCTTATGTGAAACTATATAATATATTTACTTATTTATTTTTTTTTATCGTGAAGTTATTATTGCAATAGTATTTAATATAAATTAGACGAATACTGTTTTAATACTTAACACTATACGCAAGGAAAAACAAAATTAAGCTGATTTGTAGTTGGTAGTTATTTACTAATTATATTTGTGAATCATAATTATTCATACTAAGTACGTTAGCTATTAGGTTAGATTTTTATTTTTTATTTTAGGAAAAATTTTAATGCCAAAATGTATTTAAAATCAATTATACTATATATAATATATATATAAACAAATTCATATTGTTATTCAAATGTTGTTTTAAATAATATATTTAGATAAATAGTACTAACCTTGTGCATCAATTAATTTTACATACATAAAATATATACACGGCACAAGTATTCAAAGTTTGGATTGCGACTAACAGTTGATCTAAGAAACTTTAACTTCACGATACTTTGAATAAATATTCCTCCCCAGAGGCCAGAATAAATTAGTATTTACGCTATCATAATATACAACACTACCGTTGAATAGAATTAATGTTATTTAAACATTTCCGTATCTTATCTTACAAAAATAAAACTTAATAAAATAAATGCTAATATTAAAAAAATACGTTATATTGTTATACTTTAGAAAGTATATTTCATATTAGCGAATTTGTGAAGTGTACTATACAAATATTATTTAAGTGTTTAATTTAATTAACAATCTTTCACAACGATTTGTAGGAAATTAATTTTAGTCTGATGCAATGTATAAGGCGTATATTATATAGTATTAATGTAAAATTATATTTCGATATTTAATAGAATTTTTTTTACGAAATTTAATTGTACATAAACATATAATTACATTTCATTAAACATAAAGACACATTATATAAGTTAAATGTTAATTAATAAATAATTAGACTAGTATCTAAAATTGAAGTTAATTGTTAATTATTTGTAACCTTACTTTAATTTTTTTTAAATTTATGTTTTTTGTTTGATCAATTAATTCACCATCGTTTAAATCTGTGTAGATTTGTACCTGTCTATCATTGTTTTTATTCGAAATTAAAATTGTTTTACGTGTCATTTCAGATTTTTCAGTGTACCTATATGGTTATTAAATATTTTTATCAATTATTTAAAATTGTAATTTATATAGTTTAAAAGTAATTATATATTACCATTGTAACCATTTTTCTTCATAAGAACGAAAATTTGCTGTAGTGGTAGTTATTACACTCAATCCGATTTCTTTACCTTGTTCGGAAATATTAGTTGAATTTAAATTTACTATTAAAGTTGCAGGATTAGTATTTAAATTACTCTTCCGTATTTTACCAACAAATTCACCTAATTCTTCTCCTTTTTCATTTAATATAGTTAATGTTTCATTAAAACATAGTTTTAATATATTCTCATTTTCTAGAACAGAATATCATTCTCTAATTGCTTAATTTTCTATTAACTTATACAATGATTGTATTTTATTTTTATTTAAAATTTAGATTATTATTATTTTTAGAAAAAAATAAATTCATTTTTTGTAGTATTAAAAATTAAACTTCATAAAAATATAAAAATAGATTGCAGATAGATACCTACCAATTAACGAATAGTTATTTTCTGAACTCGAATTTTTTAAATTCAAAATTAGTTTCTTGTTTTTTGCATAGTTTATCAAATCGTTTCCATAAGTTGTATAAATATTCATGTTTATGAGGACGTTTTTAATAACTTTTCAAGTATATAATTCTTCAAAATGATTAAACAATAATAGGTAATATAAGATTTAACAATAGCAATAAAAATGAGGTATTTGTAATCTATTTAAAAAGTTGAATTAATTTTGTTGATTTTTAAAATGGTCTCTATGTTTTATTTTAGACACGTAACAACATTTTTCTTCTTAATATTAAAGAACGTTAAAATATAAATTAAGTTAATTTATGAATATCTCACTTCTCAATTAATTGCTGTATACATTGATATTGATTACCAAATATATTTTGAAAAATTATAATATACTTTATTTCATTAGTTTGCATTGATTTTATTGGTAAAGTAAGTTGGTTTCTTGAGTTCGATGTTAAGCTTCAGAAAGTTTTAATTTAAATAATATAATATGATTGGTAACTTTAATTAATTATAACTTTAATACGTAAATAAAAAAATTTCTATTTTTTTATTTTTTTTTTTAGTTTAAAAATAATATCTAGTGAGACGACTAATGAATATTGTTTAATTATTTTTTATTGTTAAGTGCGATTTGCTGTTAAATGGGTCTATTCGTTTTATTGGAATCTTTTCAAGAAATGGAACAAACAAATTGTCTGTATATGATCATAATATAACTTCATAATAGTATAATAGTCATGTACTAAATATAAACTTACATATTATTAACTGATGCTATTTTTAATTAATAACATTTACTATTTAGCGTATTTATAATTTCTGAAAGACTGGTAGCCGGTAGGTCTTTCACCAACTCTCCTATACGTTTCATTATTATATTATATATACGGTATACAGTTTCATCTAATAAATTAATTTTTATTATTCTTATTTGGTAATAGGTTAAAAGGCTTTATAACTTCATTAATTATTAGTTGTGTTCCATTAAAGTTGCTTATAATTATCTATTTAGTTAATATATTTTTTTATTACAAGTTAAACTTAGTTGTTTTTAAATAATAAGGTACATAAAATCTCGTAATTAATGTACGTATGATAATTTAGTATACCTATATAATTATATTAGTTTAAAACCTCAGTCATCGCTGTAGTTATAGAGGTATCCATACTCAAAAATGTCATGTAATACGAAACCTATAAAGAAACTGTACGAGGCTCTGCTTTCTACTAATGTGATTTTAAATACTAAATACTAGTTGGCATATCGCATTGTAATCAACAGTATTGAATTTCAAAAAAAAAAAAAAATGACGATGAAAGTGATTTAAACGTCAAAATGTAGATGAGAAACTATTCGAAATGTTAACAGTTACATCATGTATATATTGTATATATAATATATAAATGCAATTTTGATTTTAAAGCATACTGATAGCATAGTAACATGTCTTATGATTAAAAATATATTATTGTACTTACATTTGCAAATTGTTTATATATTATACTTAGTCTTACATAATTTTATTTAACACTTAAGAAAATATATTTTAGAGAATAGTATCTCATTAAAGTTTCAATTGATGTGTTAATTTTAAGCTCTGGATATATTTTTATAACATTGATTGGAATACGTTTGGGAGTGGGGAAGGATCTGGTGTACGCCATGACCATACGTTTTCTTCAAAATAAAGCCGGGTTCACTTCTATGTCGTATGTCATGAGCTTTTTATCGTATTTTATTCCGATTGGCCATTGTAATTATGGTACATTAACTATTTAAATGATCTACTCAGAAACTTCTAAGTTTTAGCAAGAGCTCAACTTTTGGATACGACATGACGAACGACGTAGCTTTGAACCCAGCTTAATTAACTATAATGATTGAATTTACCGCGGTTATCATTGTGATAATAAATGTATACGAAGGTCATCAATGTTCACATCATTAACGTTACTTATGGCCAGGTAATTGTGATATTTTTGTTAGTGGGTAAAACGAGGATGGTTGCCCGCAATTTTTTCCTCATTCGACATGCTTTTTGATTCTTAATGATTCTATTAAAGACTGATTAATGGAAAAATATTATATTGTATGTGGTTTTTCATTTAAAAAAAGTTATAGTAACAATTATTTTTATTCATGAAACAATGATATAAAGGAAAATTTTCTCGATAAACTCGTTTTTATACATATCACTATTGGAAAGTACGTAAAGTGTTGTGCAGTTCGACGACATTTCCGCGAAATGACTAACTAGTTATAGAATTTTATACCAACATAAAATATAAATATACACGTACAAAATTTGATCATTTAAAACGAAGTTTCAGTAAAAATTGTAATTAATTTTCATAATTTTACAATTAAATTATGATCACCTTCTATATAAACCACGCCCACTATTAAAATATCGGTCAGTCTTTAATATTTTTTTTTTTTTAATTACAACGAAAATATATATTATCTGTATTAATTTATACAATAGGTAATAGGGTGGTATGATTACAAGGCTGGACGGCTTGATTGAAGGGGGTGTCCAAACTACACTACTTCACAATTCTAGACTTTTTTTAATATTTTTAAACCTGTAGTGTTTCATATCATTAAATGTCATACAAGATATTTATAACGCAGTTTTTATTTTTGAAAATAGATAAAAGTTAAAAAGTGTTAAATCGTCTACTGAATATACCTGTAACCTGACCAATATTTTTGAGGAACACAAATTGTGAAAAGCTTACAGATCTGGGTTAATTTTTTCCTCAACCCTATCTCCTTTGAGATATAAGTGTTCTTCCTAAACATTTCTGTTCAAATTTAAACCATTTTAAATATATATATATTTTAAATTTTAATTAAAATACGATTAAAATTTTTTTATTTGGCATCATTTTCGTATGATTGTGCTATATAGTGTCCAATTCAACCATTGAACGAACAAAAAATAATTAACTTAAAAAGACAGAAAAATGTATCTTTTAATACATAAAAAAACTTAATAGTCAATATGATAACAATATGAACACAATTACCCTAATACAACATATTCCATAAGTCTCAGGATTTTTCATTACGTAATCACGTTTTAAAACGAAAACTCGTATTTACGAGCTTCACCAATTTCAGACCACATTACCGATTTTCTGAAAATTTGCCAAAGGTAGGGCACTGGAGCATAACATCAGACGCATATCACTCATCTAAATATTATTCATACGTTCTAGTATTAGAACGCATCTTCAATCGTTATTATCACGATTAGGTACAATAGATTGATTAGATTATAGACAATAGTTACGCATAAATTATATAATTTTAGTGTTCATAAGGTTTGTCGTTTGTAATATCCAAATAAAACCTTAATAAAATAATCGTATGATCGTATGAATCTAGGCGTATTATTTTTTCCACTAATTTTTATTGAATCGAAATAAGGTATTAATGTCAATAGTTCTGAATTAAAAGTTAAAAACATATCCACTACTTCATCAAGTATCTCTGCAAAAGGCAAAAACGCTAAAGATGTTAATATTTTACATTGTTTTGTAATTTGTTTATTATATATATTTACTTATATTAGATTTAATCTTAAATTTTATATTTTTCACTGTAAAAAAACAATGGTGATAGTTTCAGATTTAACAGAAAATCTATACCGAATAGAAGCTAAAATAACATTATTAAGGTTCGTTGTTACTTTACTTGAACAAGTTACTTTTGAACATTTCTAACGTATATTTTCTCGCAAATAATGAAGTTTTAAACAATTTTAACAATATTATCTCATTTTGTAATATATATTTTCTGGTTTATTTTTACCGAACAAAACGTTCGCGATAAATGATGACCCATTTATTTTTACCGTATATAGTGTCTGTGCTGTGAAAATCAAAAAATAGATATGTAATATAAAGTGTACGTTTACCATTTCTATCAAATGTGTACCAAGGTACAGTTGAAATTTTCCTCAAATCCTTAAATTTTGTGTAATATTGACCGATTTCACATCTTTACCAAAAGTAAAGTTTGAATTTTAATTAATTATTTATAATATATAATTAGTATTATATTAAATTCGTACTTTTTATAATAATTTTTAAAAATTAAAGACAATAAGATGTTAGATTAAAAACAAGTATTTTGTTTTAATGCAATTTTTATGGTACTTTATTTTAATTTTTAGGATTTACCTACCTATATTTTAATAACCATCTTAATCAATCGTAAAATACATGTATAATAGTAATTGGCAATAAGTTTACTGTCGGTATTTACAGTGTTTTGAATTAATTTTGTAATCTCTGATAATCAGCTCAATCTATTCTATTGTACTATCCTTCTATTATTAATAAGTAATAACCCTAAATGTGTTTTAGGCTACGGCCTGTATTGTATAAAAATGAATAATTTATAACTTAAAAATATCAAATAAAAAATTGTTTCAACAATATTTTGGAACCTATAGTATCTTATTTGCTCCATTCAGAATCTAAAATAATAGTTTTAACTTATAAAATATAATGCCTATGGGTGTACATATTATTTTTGTAGTAGGTAGTTAATAATAAATATTATTTACGTATAGAATAATAATTAATAGGATTTCATAACAAAAGACTACAGGTTTTCTAGCGATTCAAATTACAAATTACATTTCGTAGTATTTCATGATTGTATTATAATAGCATTGTTCTTGTAGGAAATATTACGAATTTCTGTTTTAATCTCGATAAAATAATAATTAAAATTAAATTTACTTTATTTAATATAATATTATGAAAATCAAATCATTATTTTTTACATTTTAATTTTCAGACATATAATTTTTTTAATTTTTATCCAGTCAAAAAGTAATTGAAGTAAAAACTTAATCTAAAAATATTTTTTCTACAATATGAATATTATTTAATACCATTAATTGATACTACTACTTTTAAAAGTACGAGTGATAATAGTCATATTGTAGGTAAGGTAACATGGTATGTATACAGTATTTAGATTTTAGATATAAAATATAATCATATATATATATATATATAAATATTATACAACAGTGCCGAAGTCTCTTCTTACAA